TCTTCATATTCAAACCAGCTTGATTGGCCATCAAATTGGGGTGGAACTTTTGGTGTCATTTTGATGCCCATCCGGTTTTCGGAATGACTGGTGGCGGCATATGCTTCCGGCTCTTCATAAGAGACAATCTGGAGTTGTTCTTCATCTGAATCCATGTTGTGGATTAAGACCATGGCAGCTACTCTAACTTGACCTACAGGTTGCCTCCGCAAGTCCGATATACGGAATGTATGCAGAGAACGGCAGTTCGGCACACAGATCTAGACTTGGCGAAGGCACAGGCTCCGCTACCACTTTGAGGTAGCTTTCCCTCTATTAGGGGAGCCCTGGAAACCTATGAACACCTGCGGTCAGCTGCACTATTTTGTACACGCGAGGTCTGCTAGTCTTGAGCCATGCGGAGTGCGCATGAAAGATATGAATTAGGTGTACATGTCAACATGCATGACAGCATTGTGTAGACACGTAAACAAAAAGAAATCACGGGGGGGGGGCCTTTCGCGTGAAAAATCACGTGATGTCCTTGAGCAGCCCCCCCAATACTTGCTAAAGCAAGAAGACTCCAGCTAGCTGACGCTAGCTTTCGTGAAAAACTCACGTCCATCAAGCGATTCCATCAGCTGCCGGAACCCCTTTAAAAAATATGTCCAAGAAGAAGGGTTGAGACGTACAAACAGTGACCAAGACAGGCATGGGAATTGATAGAGATTCAATGGGATTCAATGGGATCTCGGGCTTCGGATCCAATCATCCAATCAGTTTTCGGATGGCAAACACGTAATACGACATAGATATCTACCATCAGAAAACAAACATGATGTTTGATTGCCCCCAAAATAAGAGGTCATAGGGGTCCCTGTCTTCATAGCGAATGATATGTCTTTCCGCATTTTTTCATACTTATGACTTGGTAGAGTCAGTTGTTGCTAAGCCCCCCCCAGGAAAACTGATGCTTTTCTACGGTGGCCGGGGAGGATGACACGGAGGGTGGCAGGGGTTCACCAATTATTGGTGTAAATGTGGATGCGCAAAAGCTTTCATCCTTAGGTGGTTTGATATTTGCCCCCCGTCAACCACCGATTTGACCACACCGGTCTGTCCACCAGAGAGTGGGTCTTGAACACTTTTTCCCACATTTGCAAACCTCATTGTTTAAGGCTACTTCAGCCTAGTAGCCCATTCTCGTGCCACCTTGTAATTCTTATACGCAAAAAAGGCGCTTCATTTCTTGAAGTGCAACAAGTTCGGGAAAGTGCAAAAAAATAACCGTAAACGTGCCGTAAATACCCGTAGAAAATCCGACTCTTAAAAAGGTACACTTTCCAGTGACCAAAATTCCAGGCACTTTGGAAAATGACCAAAACAATGGGTCCCTGTCTTTTGCAACTGGATAGCTGGGCAGCGACGGCTTTTTTCCAATCGAGAACTGACGAGCAGTGAGAAGCAATCGAGTCAATCCGACCGCTGAACGGATTTCAAGAGGTGCGCTAAAACGGTTGCCCCCCAAAAAAAATGCGTTAGAGATTTTGCCTTGATTTCCAACATCTATATACATATATGTATATGTATATATATATATGAATGTAATCAGCCTTAAACCCTCCAATACTAGACACATATAATAACTATTGGAATTTCAGAGATTCCCACGGTGTGGTTCCACCCACCAGGTTTATGGTGCATTGTGGGCTCGTTGCCAACATGGATTGAATGGGTATGAATGGATATGATGATCGCTTGGAGGTCCGGGTAGACCCCGCATCTTCTCAGCATACCAATGTCCTCAACGAAACAGCGGCCGCGCGTTCGTCCAAGTTGGACGACGAACTGCGTCGCTTCGGAGCTTCGTGTTTTTCCCGTTTCGTCGGGCCTTCCCAGATTATTTTCCAGTTGAAAGCCCCGTTGTCAAAAACATGTTTTCACATGTCGGAAAATCGCCGAGCCCATCTTGAGACAAACCGACATGTCAGGAAGATTCAACCCAACTGTGACTGTGACTATGGTTTATGATGATTTGAAGGGCACTGTGACTGCGATTGGTCAAAGAACCTTCGAGAATTCAGCGTCAACTCACGGTCAGAGGGCCATAATCTCATGGTAGGTCAGTTATTGACAGTTATTGTTGTGGTAAACCCAACCATAAACCTACCATGACTGGGGATGTTTGAAAACCCAAAAAAAATGGGTCCTGTTGATCCGAATGATCCCAAATGGAATGGGAAAATCATCGAAAAATTGAAGCAGCAACCAGTGAACATTGATTGCATCCCCAGTTTTATTCCGTGTATTCCCATCAAAAGTCTCTCCTATCATTGTTCTAGGCCATTTACAAAAAAGAAAACTCAAACCAAGAAATCAGCCCAGAAAGGCTTCCCCAAGCAATGGTGAGATCCTTGTGACTCTATGATTCATCCAGGTGAGGTGAGGTTGTGGAATCCCATAACGAAAAATGGGAGATCTTCCAGCCATGTTTGACACAGGCTATCCTTCTGTCTGGCCAGACAAAACGGTCCCACGTTGCCCTTCGCCCACCATCGAGGGGGCGGTTCACAACTTTTGTCTCCTTCCAGGCGTCCCGGCATCCAGCGAGTTGATGATAAACCATTGAATTTTGGGGAAATCCCCCCAATTTTGGACCAAATGGCTATAAATGGTTTGTGGCAGAGTTGGATTATTTGAACCCCTGACATGCGGTACCTACACTCAACTAACTTTAAACCAATATGATTAAGTTGGAACCCCCCAGGAGAGGAGTTTGGAAGACGGTGCTTTGGCGACAGTCCGCGTGAGTCTTTGGTTTTACCTTCCGGCGATCTATCTGCAATGCAAAAGAAACTGTTCTTGTCCTTATCAAAAAATATCAAAAAGTTGTCTATCAAAGGATATTTACGGATCATGTTCCGTTTGAGTACCAAATAGCTACAGTGTTTTAACGGTATCTGTGTTGTTTTAACGGCTCATATCGGATTGTTCCACTGGTCCAAGGTTACATCCTGCGTGTTCATGTCATTGTCAATCATATATGTGTACATTAAAATCGGCCATCAATAGCCTGACTAGTGCCAAAGCAGAAATTGTTGCCCTGTTGCCCAAATGGATTGGATTGTGTTGGGATGTCCGCCTGCCTTTGGGTGCTTAGGCTTCCGCAAATCAGTCGGGTGCGCCCCATGGAAGTCGACGGTGATACATTGCAGAGCAGCGGCTCATTTTTGTTCATCCGCGCAACTGCGTGAAGGCATGGGAGAGTCGGACCGGGAAGTAGGGATGTGACACAACTTCTGCATAGTAACAAGCACCAGCAAATCCTGTGCTTGGGAAACGCTTATATAAAGGGTAGCTCCCCATGGCTCTCCAGGTTTTTGGAGGTGTCCATCCATGAAAGTCATGGTACCCCCCAAAATCCATCCAGAGAATCCCAGGGAAACTTTCGATACCCATGGCTCCCCATAGCTTTCTCCTAACTGGATAGAACAGGATCAAATTATTGCCAGAGTTGTCAACCGCTTCAGCAAAATCCAATGATCCAATGATAGCGTCTTCACCCTGACTGGGCTGCGCAACTCAAATTTGTTTGGTTTCAAGTAGACAAAATATCCAAGTTTTATCCAAAAGTCCACCAAATCGCCGTACTTGGGGTGCATCCCTCTTAGTAAGTGGTGAATAACCCATACATTACCTGTCTGGCTGCTGCGACGTCATCCAAGGCTGGTCCCCAAATGATGCCACAAGATCTGTTACTTACCGCAGTTTCAGATTCTTTCCACTTGAGCTTAAGCAGATCATTAATACAGGTTTACCTATTGTATAGAACCTTGCTTTACACATATATATATATATATATAGAGAGAGAGAGAGTTTGTTTGTATTTCTTGTATTGTGTACATATATACATATATACATCTATACATATATACATCTATACATACATCTATACATCTATACATCTATACATCTATACATCTATACATACACACATACATACATACATACATACATACATACATACATACATACATACATACATACATACATACATACATACATACATACATACATACATACATACATACATACATACATACATACATACATACATACATACATACATACTACATACATACATACATACATACATACATACATACATACATACATACATACATACATACATACATACATCATACATACATACATACATACATACATACATACATACATACATACATACATACATACATACTTACATTACATTACATTACATTACATTACATACATACATACATTACATACATGCATACATATATATATATTACTTAAACATACTATGTCTGCAAGTATAAAGTACATACAATATATATATATATATATCTATCTATTTACATATACATGATCCATGGTTCAGAATCCGAGTTTGACAGATATTTGACCCTTCAGTCCTATGTGGCTTCACCCTGTCGCCGTGCCTGAAAGAACATTGTCAGCAAGGCCAACACACCTCAGCTGGGGCAATTTTGCTTGGGAAATCCACCTTTAGCACTGGGACAGGAATGGGAGATCATGGGATTTTTGTTTATTGGAAAGATCATACTTCACCACTGGATTGAGGGTACCCTGTTTTTGGACAAACCCGTATTCGCCTCGTGATAAATTAACATAGATATGGACATCCATGGGTTCGCGTTCAGAACATGATCTACGAATGGTGGGTCTATCTTCTATCTATGTGTATATATATATGCGGAATGCAAGGTAGCACAAACAGCAACGAAAGATGCTATGGCTTCCTACACACCCTAAACCAAGCGGTTTCACTGCAATTCCTGTTTTGACCAAGTCAGTGAAGGCTCAAGGCCTATTGATCCCAAAGAGCGGCAGCAGGCCACAACATCCAAGAATGTACCTGGCAAATGGAAATGGGACATGGGAAATTCACACGCCCTCTTGTGGACTTATTGCTGCTGCAAACTTATATTCACAGCTGATTCTCAGCTTTCATGCAACTAGCGCGAACGTTGGAAGCGTCCAGTTCCCTTGTTGCCATCAGTCTCAAGCCATTTGATGCGAAGGAGGAATCTGGCAAAGTCAGTGGCCTGGGTATCACAAGGTGTGTCAACATCCTTGCCATAGGTCTTCACCAACCATTGGAGATATCCTTTGGCTTCAGCGTTGTGCAGTGCTTCGGCAACCAACGTAGAATAGCGATATCCCTGATTCTCATACTTCTTCATAACGATCACGGTCTTCGACCAATCATCCACATCAACACAATCCACTGGCAGAGAAATCTTGACATTCTGACGGGTATGGACATCCCTGATCACTTGGCTGATGGTGGTCACATTGGGCTCAACCACGGCAGGCGTAGGAGTTGTGACAGCATCATAGCCACTCGGCAAAGAATTCTCACCACGGCCAACCACACTCCACACAGTTGAACGTGGGCTTTCACCATGGGAACTCTCGATCTCATCCCGAACACGCTTTGCAGCTTCGGACATACCACCAGGCACATCAAAACCTGGGATGTAGTTCTTCAGCCACTGACATGACTGGGGATCTTCGGCAGCTGTACGCTCAAAGATGGGGCGAGCTTGGTTGTTGGCAATCGCCCGAGTGAGCAAACCAACGGTCATCGAAATCTCAACCTCATTCAACTTTGGCGTCTCTGCGGCTTTCTTGGAGATCTTGCGAGGCATATGGGACATGGCTCTCAGAAATCACGCTAACGGCGTTTGGATCAAAAACTGTACACACTCAGCAGGCTACTCGGTTCAGCTACCTGGCAAATCTCTAAATGATAAAGCAACGGAAAAACGGCATTTCTGGATGGCTCTCAGTATCTTCACACTGAGACGCATGCAGTTCTGTACACGAAAAAAAACCTTTCAGCATATGACTTTGTCAGGCTTACTTATGGTTATGCAAAAGGTTGCTTCTCACGGCTGTTTTCCTTGACTGACCTGTTGGGCTCGCTTGTCGCTGGCTTTCTCTTTACTCCCGGACTCCTTACAAACTTTGATCTGATATTTTCCACTCTCCATCAAGTCAAAGAAAGGTTTACTGTCGCTATTGAGTTTTGTGAGAATGTCAGCGGCCATGTACTTATGGTTTATCCAGTATATTTCTATATTTTGACGCAACATGGAGTCTCTGGCAATGGCATATTCTAGTTCCAACTTTTTCTCTTGACTGGTGGATGCACTGCTCAGTTTACTGGAAGCATCATAGAAACCTCTGGAATCCACAACAAGCAAGGCTGGGTGTTTCGGCCTTTGTTTTCGGAATTCTCTAGGTGAGATTCCATACACTGTTTCTGCAAGAAGACCTTGAAAGAACTCTATGGCGTCTAAGGCATTGTTTCCAGCATGTGTTTCTGCGGCTGTTGAGGAACGGACCACACGCTGCAACTTTTTGCTTGCCCAATCCACCAACCACATCGGTGCGGTTTTCCGATCTCTCATCAAAGTATTGGTGAGTCCCAAGAGGTAACCACCCTGCGAATCCCCATTGGCTCTCTTTGCATGGCCGGCATCGGATATACACACTATTCGCCATTGTTCTATGGGAACATTTGAGGGAAACTTCATTACAACTTTTCTTTCTTTCATCTCTCTCAGTGCTTTGTTGTAAAGTTCAACATGGCTTACAGTGGCTTTATCTTGGATACCTTGCAAATAAGAGGCTAGGAATGCTTTGTCAGGACGTGTTGAACCTGCGGCCCATGCCAGCTGTCCAGCACACCTTCGCAGCAAGGAAGGATCACGCGCAGGGGTTCCTGAAGACCCAAGGCTCTTGGTTGAGACAGGCTCCAAGGAATCGATGTATGTTTCCTGATTGATCTCGATGGCAAATGTATTGGGGTTCTGACGGATCTCTATTCCAGTGTAACGGATTGTATATGTTCTGAAATCACCAAAGGGAAGGCACTTCCTTAGTTTTTCAAGAACAGCATCCATTTCTGGGGTTCCTCCACCTAGAAGGTCGTCAACATGAACACCACAAACACCAACCAGTTCGTTTTTGGAATTTCTCAGGGAAAACAAACAGCGGTCCAATTGGGATACCTTTAGACCTTGTTGGGCTAACTCTCGGCTCAACCTAAGAAACCAGGCCCGTGGGGCTTCTGCTAGCCCGTAGGCTGCTTTCTCCAAGCGAAACAGGTCCTCGTCGGTGAGGTCCATCCATCTTTTTATTTCAGGGGGCGGTCTGAAGTACAACTGTCTCTCAGAAGGGTCTCCGCTTAGGAATGCGGTTTTGATATCTGCTCCCCAAATTCGCCATTTCTTTGCGGCACAAATTGAAAGAATCAGATTTTTGGACTCCTTTTTGAGGGTTGGACTATCTGTAGCTATTTTTCCTAGTTCAGGATCTTGCCATCCCACTAGTACTAGTCTAGCTTTGGGGGTTTTTGACCTATCATCTGGGTCTGATGATTTTTTCCACACTAAAACCCATCGCGCCCTGATCACCCGTTCTCTGGGAATTCCCCGGGATTTACAGATGGAGGTTACTTTGTTATCTATCCATGACTGCCACTCCTTTTTCATTGCAACCTCAAACCTTTTCTTATCCTCCTCACTCAATTTCCGGAAACTGACCTCAACCCGGCGTTGTTTCGCTGGCTGCTGCACGACGAAGCAATCTTCAATCACTTCCCACAAGCACAACTGTTGTTCAGTGATGTCCTCTGGGCGGACTTCTATAGATACTTCCATGACATCATGCTTACCAGGAACCGGATTATTTTCTTCATGTTCTACAATCAGTTCATCACCATCATCCATTGGCACCGGAACTTCATGAGGCTGCACATCTCTAGGTTCGGGTTCTGCAGGTGGCATTGGATTATTGACTGCGGTTTCATCTTCGGAAGTGATCGGAGGTTGTGATTCAGGAGTTTCAGGCAAAGCTTCTGACTGTACACCAGATTGCGCATCTTGACCGATCTCTGCATCATCAAGGCTGGGTCTTGGCGATTTGGCAGGCGAAGTTGGCTCGTATGAGTACTTTTCAACATCATCGGTTACCGTAACTTGCCTTTTTCTATCTGGTTCTACATTATCATCATCATCGGGTTCTAAAGACCTACTGGATTTTAGGCGGACTACTTGGGGGAGGTCTACATCATCATGTAGTGGCCCTAGCGGCGGTGCGCCCTCTGCCCTTCTTCTCCAATAGTCATCTGACCTGTAGAACCTACGCCTGATCTTTTTGGGACCTTGTTCAAGCTGTGAGTCTTCTACATTCGGCTCTTCCCACAAATCATCCTCAAGTTCATGATCTTCTTCTATGGGTTTGTGTTCTTCTGAAAGATCTTCAAACTGACCTGATTTGGAGGAAACATTTTGTTCAGCTTGCTCCAGCTCGGGATGCAGACGTCCTTCCGACAAAGAACGGGCAAGGCTGCGGAATTCAGCTTCGTCCTCTGGCACTGGTCGAAGTCCCTCTGGGCTGCACCTGTATAAGTAACCATTATGGCTTACCCAAACAAGTCGAGGAACTGGACCCCCGCTTTCGCTTTCTATCCCCACTACTCTACCCGGACCTATCCAAACTCCATGACGTGTTGACAAAAGACCTCTGGCTCTACGACGGAAGACATAAACCAATTGACCAACTTGGTATGGACCCCGGATGGGTCTTGCTCTGCCGGCGACAGCTCGGCGCCAGATGTCACGTGCATGTTCTTCATGAAATGCTACTGCAGCTTGTTCTCTCAATCGAACTTTATCATGGAAATCAGGATCGGCTAGGTATCGTGAAGCAGTGGTTATGTTGTTTTGTTGTTCAAGGTCTCTCAACATACCAACTTGACGGGAATCCTGACCAAGAAACCATTGTGAGGGGCTAAATCCACAACGTCTCAACTGCTCGTTTCTTGTGGTGGCACACATCTCAATTGTTTCTTCTACACTTCTATTTGTGGTTCTCCACACTTTTTGCGCCATGTTTCTGAGGATCCTATTTGTCACTTCAACCAAACCAAGTTGCCAATGGGACTCGGCTGCGGCCAAAAGAAGTTTGACATCGTTTCGTGCCAAGTATGCTTGGAAAGGCTTGCTGATATTTGCCATGGCTGGGTCCATGTAGATGGTGTTTGGCAAACCATATGGACGCGACCAAACATTATGAAATGCTTCTGCCATTGAGTGGCCAGTAGGACAAATAATCTGCTGGGCAAAACCTGTTCCTAAGCAAACACATGTGAGGACGTTTCTTTTGATTTCCTCCAATTTTCCATGCTCATCTTCTTTCTTCAATTCAACTTGAACATAGTCGACACCTACTATGTCATTAGGCTTATCAGCACGGGGCATTGCAGCTTGCCTTCGAGATGGTGGTACTTTCAACTCCTCGCACACAGGGCAACGGAACTTTCGGATGGCATCTTGAACTTCTTGGGACGATTGGCAACGCTTGGCAAGTCTGAGCATTTGTTCAACGGATGCATGACCGGTGTTTGTATGCAACTTTTGGATTATTGCTTTGATCTTTTCAGGTCTTTGCTCAGGCTGTGCTGCGGCTGCAACTGCGCCCTCTGAGTTAGGAACGGGTTGTTCCGAATCAGCTGGTTCAAGTGCATCGGATTCGTCAAACAAAGCATCTTCAAGTCTCGGTGACTTGGCACGGCAGTTGCTCAGAACTTCAGAGACTACTCGGCAGAACTTACTTGGATAAACTTCACACCAAGAGGACAAGTTGCGACCCTTGTACGCACCTTCAAGATGGGCATGTTGGTGCAAATGATCACAACGGCACTTCAGCAGTCGTTCTGCAAGTTCTGGCATCGTGGTGACGATCTTTGTGGGCTTAAGCACAGGGACGTTTGTCTTCGGACATCGCATGCCAAGGCTGCACATGTCAATGCGGACTTCATGGAAATCAAGCAATTGCAACTGTGACCATGCTTCAGAAGTCAATGGGTTCTCCGCATGACAGTGACCACCAAACAAACGCTGTAACTGCCACGCTTCAGAAACGGCACTCAGGTGCCTTTTGGCAATTTTGCGCTGCTGCAACACTGTGGTTTCACTGGGACCACCCTTTGGAAGATTGAATCTACTCCAGGGACCCCAACATCCACAAGGAAATGAAAACCATACGTGTTCCGGCCTACACCATGCAATCAAGTAAAGCAACATGCGGCGATCTCTCAACTTGTTGAAATCCTGGCCATGTTTCAGGCCCAAGATAATGCATGATTTACCGGTTTGTTTATACAGCTTTTTGGCAAGTGGAGCTCTATCGGTAAACACCTCGATCATTTGAACTGGTGAGTCCAGTGCATGGGCTTGCGGGCCAAGCCATTCTTCTAGTTCTTCTCGGACCTTTTGAGGTTCTGCTTGCATGCGGGACAAAACCAGTTGGCTATTGACCTTTCTAACCGATCTAACCCCTTTACTTATCACATTTCTAAATCCATCCTTTATTTCAGTTGGTCCCATGTTTACCCAATCAACATCATCATACAATGATTCTATTGGGGGACATGGTGGTGGTTGAATCTCCATGGATGGATCCACTTGTTCACAGCAGCACTGGCAGTGACTGGCTGTTTCAGCTGGCACTGGCACTGGCGGTCGTTCAATGGGAATGTGCGCGAACAAGGCGATGTTCGTCTGGGCAACTCTGGATCTCTCATTACCTGGCGGGCGAGTGACCCATGGTTGGACTTGGAAATCTCCCTCAGTGGACAGGGTTACCCTACAGCTCAAATAAGACTGGGTTGAAGCATCAGGGGGAACGCGTTCAAGTCTAGGTCTATAGGCTATGAAGGCATGGGTGCATTCGGCTGCTCTACCTACTATTCCTATCAACTGCTCTCGGAATCTTTCAACATTCACAATCCCTTGACGAGTATTTTTGGCTATGTGCTGCAAAAACTGTTTTCTACTTCTTACATTGTCACCTCTTTTTGGTGCACATGTTTTGGCTACTTTTGTGGAAACCTCAGTCGGTTCGTGCCTCTGCTCAGCGGCTGCAGGGGCTGCGTCATTGGGCTCATTGGTGTCAGCACGGCCGGCTGCTCTGCTGTCGTCATCAGATGATGACATCGGCTCGGATAGGTCACTGGGCATATCTCCAGTATCAGCTAAACTCACATCGGCAGATCGCTTTGAAACATCAGGCTGAAACTCGGACGGGATCTCACAAAACGGCAGGAGGAAATGACCATTGGAAGCCCGTTTCAGCGGGAAATTCACCATGTTGTGCTTTTTGCTGGTGATGGTGCCATTCCCCATATCTAAGGTTGCCTCCATCCCCTCAAGCACACGACGTGAAAGCAAAAACGGTGTGGGACCTTCAACAACATATGTAGTTATGGTTCCCCAAAGACTTCCAATTTTCACAGGCCATTTCAATCCCTTGGTGGTCACCCTCTTATCCCCACTAAATCCCTTCAACTCTACTGCAGGCAATTCACATGGCTTTGGAATCGGCAGGTTCAGGCTTTGAAACAATTTGGAAAAACGTTCAGCCGTTTGTTGACCTACCACACTGGTCGTGCAACCAGTATCGATCACTGCACAGCCATCAGGAATTGACGCAAGCAGCACGTCTAAGGACTCAGTTCCAGTGAAGACCTCGTTCACCATGTAGGCAAAGGCTTCAGCGATTTCTGCTTCAGTGAAATTTGCATCTTCTCTCCGTGGTCTGAACTCGTTTGGCTTGCGTTTCGCATTTGAACTTTTCACAGAGCTTTTAGTCTTGTCATACTTGAAGTCACCCTTCCGTGGCATCTGACCCATTGATGTAGAGCTTGAACCAGATTTGCTAGGCATGTCTTGCGGCTGACTCAAGGCTACCACAGGGTAGTAAGGCTGTCTGGACTTTTTGATCTCTTTCACTTTGCGTCTACTCTCTTTGTATGTCTTGAAGGATCTTTTGAAGTCTTTCTTGGCCTTGTCCTTGATCTCATAGACTTCCTGCAGCTCACGGTCAGTTGAATTGTCATCATCATCCTGTTGCATCTCATCAGGCTGATCAACTGCTAGTGCATGGTCAGATTCGGAACCACTGGTCATTGGTTCCATGATTTCAGAAGATTCATCATCCACGGCATGGGCTTCTTGCTGAATCATCATAGTATCTCTGCGAGGCGGTCTGGCAGAATGGGACACAGGGGCATGTCGTCGCTCATCAGCACGGCTCCTAGATTCATCAAAATCAGAGGCTCTCAAAATCTTCTCCACTTCATGAAATTTCGATGATCCACCAGTTGAACGGATCACTTGTGCACGTTGTTCACGGGAAAGACCATACTTGCGCATGAACAAATGACCCAAAACTGTTGATGGAAAAATAGGAGACGGCTTTGTATGGCCAACTTCAATTGTGCCCAACAAATGAGCCATTCTCAGTTCTTCACGTTTACGATCAGCAGCAAAAGTTCCACGAGAGCTTTTACCAGAACCGGGACCTTTCTTTCTCCTACCCTCAGCTGAAGAGGCATGGCTACGGGCTGACTTCGGTTCTTCTTCATGAGAAGCTTGATCTTTTTCATCTTTTTCACCAGCACATGCAGAAGGCGGCTTTTCATCTTCCTTCTCATCATCTTCATCTTCACCTTCGGTAGGTGCTAGGCTACTGGCAGGCGGCGTCTCAGCATCAGGCATATTGGATTCAGGACCAGAAGTTCTACGTTTCTTGGACTTCGAAGCAGCACGGTCTTGGGCGACCAAGGCTTGCACACGGGACAACGCAGTCTTGAAGCGGCTTGCAAACTGCGTGGCACCTTCATGAGGTCGTTTGCGAAGGTCGAACAAAAAGCTATCTATTGCTTCATGCAGTTCGGTCTCTGGCAGAAAAGCGTAATGCTTGTCCAGGGCCTTCAGGACCTGCAGCCAGCCGTCTGAACGGCGCAAATCCGACACTGAAAGGTGCTCAGTGGCTCGATAAGCCTCACCCTGCAACCTGGTCAAAAGACGTGGACCTGCGAGGTGAACATGTTTCTCCTCCAGGCCTGCTACTGCAAGAATTGTTTTTCTCCTGAATTCTCTGTAGTTTGCTGGACGGCCATCAAAAACTAAATCTCTGAAGGATCCAGAATCACGCTCCATTGGCACCGAAGGATGCCACACTCAATGGCCAGGATGGCCACACGTCGCCAAATTCAATTGGCGCCCTTGGATGCCCCGTAGGGCTCCGCTACCATGCGGAATGCAAGGTAGCACAAACAGCAACGAAAGATGCTATGGCTTCCTACACACCCTAAACCAAGCGGTTTCACTGCAATTCCTGTTTTGACCAAGCCAGTGAAGGCTCAAGGCCTATTGATCCCAAAGAGCGGCAGCAGGCCACAACATCCAAGAATGTACCTGGCAAATGGAAATGGGACATGGGAAATTCACAATATATATACATATATACCGCCTATCTATATATATATATATGTATATACATACATACATACATACATACATACATACATACATACATACAGACATACATACATACATACATACATTACATACATACATACATACATACATACATACATACATACATACATACATACATACATACATACGTTTACATGTATGTATATATATATATTATATTATATTATATTATATATTATATTATATTATATTATACTATATATATATATACGTACATGATTGTATATGTTAATCCACTGGAGGGTAACAGGTATAAACCAACAAAGCTGGGATAAAGCTGAGCAACACATAGAAACACAAATGGTGTGAGAGGGAACATATGCCAATCTTGGTTGGAGGTTCCTAACAGTATGTAACGTCCATATGTTCGTAAGGTCCATAAATTTGGCATTTGCAAGACAATATGACCCGAATATATGGCTGAACGTATGGCACAGTACCCCTTTTAAAATTAAGAAAAAATGACGTATCTGAGCGAGATCAGAAGCGTCCACAGGGTGCACTCTGTACAGTCCAATGAAATTTCCACGCTGTATATCCCTCCGGTAATTTAACCTGGACACCGGAGGCTATGTCAAAAAAAACGATCGCAAGCCTCATCCATTGGTTTCCAATCAAGGAAAAATTAACATGTGGGCCGAGAAAAAAACGATGTAAAAAATGGGATGGTATGTATGTATCATGCATACATATATATATATATATTATTGTTATTATTATACTATAGTAGAATGTAAACCAAAGTGACCAAAAGAAATCACAGAAAAGCTGAATGTTACATGTACCAACCTTTACCCTCAAACTGACCCTTAAAAAATCCACGCAATCTATAAAGCTTCCCTAAGTCATGGGGCTACCCCCATTCATCATCCAAGTAGACCATGACTTCATCGCCGCAATGCCCAGGCACCAGTCGTCAGTCGCAGTGAACCGCTGCACACTGCCTGGTGACTCGGTGGTAAGGACCGATCTCGGTGGTATTCCTCTGCGTGAGGAATACTGTGGAAGAAATCCTGCAGTTGATGGTAAACATTGAAACATCCCATGAGAAAAAAACAAACAGTGTGTGCAGTACGTTCCAGAGTTACCTATAGTTTCCAACTGGTGTAGAATGGATTGTCCACAGTACGAGTTTAGACATCACCAGAGAAAATTGAGGAAGGAATTGTCACTCTTGATGAAAAAGAAAAAAGATTCGTAAACACTTGGAACATTACATTACATGTTCGAGACACCATGATGAGCGTACACACAATGACAAAACAATCGCAGTGCCAAATTGCTATCTAGAATGAATCGTAAATCATGGGCGGGTAATGCTAGGAGGTCGGCCTCCTAAGGTCTTTAACAAAAAAACAGATCTACTCCACAACTCCTGAAAATATTTTTCTTTGGACCTGAAAATTTAGGGAACAATTCCCAGAATCCACTGGTTAGGGGAAAATCCTGAAAACCCACTGGTAGATCATCTCATTTTGCCTCTAAAAATGGCCTCTATTGCGGAGCCTCGTGCCATTTTCAGGTACCACAGACATATCTTGCCACGTTTTTTCTTTGGGGTGGGTAGCAACAGGCGCCAAAGATGGACACTAGTAGAAACTTGGAAATGGAGGTATGGACCAGCAAGAGCAACGAAAATTCGTATATATAGTAAAATATAACCATGAAAACACCATGTTCAACTGTAGTGATTATTATGGTATTATTTCAACCATTAAAGTATAAACCCTCCATGTTCAATACCTCCACTCTATGGTAAATATTGGTAATTATATAACTTACTATATAACCATGAAAATCTAGTGGTCAATGATTCTAAGTTGGTATTACATCATCAACAATTATCGATAATGCTGATAGACCTGGGAATGAAACATGGCTGGAAAAGTCCCGAAACGTTGGAAGGTCGCAAAAAAAAAAACCAAGGGATCAAAGTACCTGTGGAGTTTACAAGTCCCTGGTTACTACCCTCTGGTAATGACTAAGAGTTGGCTATTGAAAATGGCCATTGAAATGGTTGATTTACATCGTAAAAATTGTGATTTTCCATAGTTATGTAAACGTTTACCAGAGGCTAGATTTCTCCCATTCAGAGTGGATTACCAGGATAGGTAGCACCAAGAAACAGGGATTTCATATGATTTCATCGGTCTGGGGTTGTCTCAAAAAAGTAATGAAAAAAAACTAAAAACAATGGTCTGGAACATGATGTTTCATGAAAATTGACGTAAATGTCCAATGTTTTTCACAAAGCCAGTGGTGAATCACGCTAGCCAGGAGTGCTAATTTCGTTGGTTTCATCCCCTCATTTTTGTTGTTTTTCATGATCCCCATAGTTGGTTGGATCCCTATATATGTTTTGGGGTTAAATCCGTGTTATGAACCATATTCCCAATGTTGATATTTCGTTATAGTACCCCGGGGAAAAAAAAGTTTCCAGGATCTCGTAAGTTCGATGTTTCCCCCCATATTTTCTCAGTGTCCAACTTGACTGAGTCTATTTGGGGGTTGTTTTTTCAGTCGCCCTATGATTCCACATCCGAAAAATTCGCAGGAAGGGTGTCCACGCATCGCAGGAAGGCACTGTGTAGTGCGCATGATCACCTCACGATGGGATCTTCAATCGATTGATTGACCAGTTCTGGGAGTTTTAGACTAGCCTAGAAGAGAGATTGTCGTAAACAAAAATTGAGTTGTTGACCATTCAATTGGACAATTCTCCTTTTTTTGACCAATGAATCAATGTCATCGAAAGAGTCCAAAAATAGGATTGTCCACATCCCTATTGGTTCGACTACCCCGAAATCCCGGCGGGAACGTCAGAGGCCCTTTGACCCGTGCCTTTATATCTAGTCAACCAGGAAATATTGAAAAACAAACTAAACATGCAAGGTGTTTTGTTAACCACTTCCATTAACATATCTAGGTTTGTTGTTTTGGGCCATCTGAATCTAATAAATGTACTTCCAACAAACGAAGTAAAAACAACTATTCAAAACCTGGGAGTTGTCAACAAGCTTCGGTCATCGTTTTTTGTTCCAGCAAAACAGTCCACAAACCATCAAAAAAGAACAATTATCCCGGCAAGAGACGCCAAACAGTGCGCAGGTAGGATTCTAAAGGGAAAGGCGGAAAGGACCTACAAGTATCAGTGGCTGCAAGCTAGCAGGACAAGAGCGACCCTAGTAGTGAAAAGAAGAGATACCAGGTAAGATTCTGCAAATTCCCTTTGTGAAGATCTCTGTAAAGATCGTGCGCAAGATCTCTTTGACAGGTTCTCTGAGAAGCTGCTGCGCAAAATCCCTGCGTAAGGCTATCTGTACAAGGTGCCTGTAGGAGATCTCCACAGAAGATTTTTGTAAGGGATCTCAAAGATCTCTGTTCAAGCTATCTACAAATGATCTCCGAGCAAGACCTCTGCTCTCTTCACCAGGTCTCTGTACAAGATCTCCAAAAGAGGTCTCCTGGCAAGATCTCTGTACAAGATCTCTATAAGAGCTCCATTGGCAAGATCTCTGCACAAGATCTCTATAAGAGGTCTCTTGGCAAGATCTCGGCAAGGGGCCTCTTGGCAAGATCTCTGTACAAGCTCCCTATAAGAGGTCTCTTGGCAAGATGTCTGTGCGAGATTTCTCGTTTTGTGCGAGCCTGGTGCGAGCCTGCGCATTCGAAATGCACATGGGCATGCCACAAGAGCCATGCTATACTGAAACTTAGGAAAAATACCGCACCCCAGGACCGCGACACCTGTTTGTGCGAGCCTGCGCAGTCGAAATGCACAGGGACATTTGACAAGAGCGATTTTGTGTGGAAATTTACAGGAAAAATGCCGGACGCTAATGATACCACCTCGATTGAACACCGGGCCTTAACACCTACCGTAAGAACCCCTCAGTGTGGCCACGCTGGCCACATTGTTTGGGGAACAGTGGTCTAACATGTGGTCTTGATCGTTCCAGTGCTAAACATACAAAAATCAATGTTCCCCTCATCTAGATTTCTATCTCCCATTTTAAGCCGATCATCATCCAATGTTGATGCAATGCTCTTGGAAAACAAACATAGAAAAGAATGATTCAAAATACATCGTCCGACAAAATCGATCGACTGGTCCTTCCGGTCCTTCCCCAATTTTCGGCCATGGTACACATGGGTTTCCACATGGGCAGAGCCTCCGGGGCCTCGTGCGAGAGGCAGTACCTGCCCGAAGTACGGGCGCCCGTTGAAACGGCGCCCGTTGAAGGCGCGGAACGTGATGGCCCTGATGAGTGATGAATTGAGATTTGAATGAATTTATATAGATCATTATAGATCATGTTCGAGGATTTTTCGGATTTGAAATGGATTAGGATGAATTTGGATGTTCTATGAATTCTGGCTATGTCAGCATATGTCAGCATCCATGTTCTTGGGGGATTCCAATCATTTTGAGTTCTCTCGCTAGGGCTAAAGTACAGAGCGCACGAGATCAGCTTCAAAGTGTCACAGGCCATCATTGCTTGCAAGGGATGGACGTGGCGATCCTGACTCGGAGACAACAAAAAAGGTGTAGTGGCCCAGAGGCCCCGCTGGATAAGTCTGTTAGTTGATGCTTACCCATGGAACTATGGATATATCATGATATATCTGGCACAAAGCCTAGGGCCTAGCTACTTAGA